TTTCCATCAGGCGGGGCGTCAGCTTGTTTGTTGTTCTAAGTTGCATAAAATAAAATATTTATCAGAAAGAGGAAAAGCTTATTATACCTGATTACTTGATATCAGAGTTATGCAAAACTAAATAACCAAATTTGATTAATATTGGCAGAGGTATTATGAAACGGTCGGATGGAATTAGGGTATGAGGGCAAGATAAGCATTGTAATATCCAATATACGGGTCCGATGAGGGCATTCATTCTTTATATTACGTACATTTCTTTATAATATCTTTACTAATATTATAAATGTAATAGTCCGTTTGTTTCTCTGTTTATTATTTCTTAGGGCTATAGATTACTATATATATATATATATATATATATATATATATATATATATATATATATAAGGCTATAATTTACAGTGGTACTCTGCACTTTGGTTGTTTTGTTAAAAGAGCGACTGGCAGCTGTTCACATTGCGCTGGGACACTCACAGCATCAGCTGAGCCGGTTCCTTTTGCCGAATATGGGACACTTTTTGTATATGTTATTTATATTTTATACTGTAATTCTATTCTACTCGTTGCCTGCACCCGTTCACGAGTATGACAGATGAGCCAGCCATCTTTACAGTCAACTATATTTGGGGGAACTCACTATCCTGGTTAAAGATTATCTGTAAGAGATTGCCCTAGCAATAAGACCGCCTTTTGTACCTTTATGTGTATATTTCAATCTGTATTTATGTTACTGTATTTCACTTGAATTATTCACTTGTCATTGTATATTTTTGTTTATGGTGCAATAAAGAGTTAAATAAATAAATAATATGGCCCACCACACCACCAACCGTTTAGATATTTTAGTGCGAGCGTAAGAAACTAGTGAAACAACAAAGATATTGTACAATTTAAATAAAGGAAATTGTCAAAGAAACAATTAAATATACATATTATTTTATTATTATCCACGCGGACGATCGCCTAATCGATGGTCGGACCAGGTAACCGCTGTTACGGGACTGTCGATTGCAGCTGCCCTGCGAGAAGCTGAAGACCGTGTAAAATGGAATAACATCATAAGAGAGGCAACAGACACCTTTCAAGGACACGACCTTCAGTAATGAAGAGGACGAAGAGAGATATATATTATTTTATTATATTTTTATCTTATTCTACATATATAATTCTACAATATATTCTACAAATATAATAATGAGTAGGGATAATATTTATATTATTATATGTACCACATCTCCCATATTTAGAACTAACAAAATTTTTCATCGTGCCTCCCACCAAATTGTTTATAATTACTCCTCTCCATCCAAAGGTTGCCTGGAGGCGATCGCTCTTAGCGATAAGGCCGCCCATTGTTTTCTCATTGTGATTATTTCTTGTAATTGTTTGTATCTATAATAAGTTTAATAGTACAATAGTGTAATATTTTGGTGGAAACAATAAAGAGTATCTGTCTATCTATCTATCTACATTATTCTACATATTATCTTATTCTCATTTGCCGCCAATTATCCCAGTTGCTATAAAGCTTACTCTATATATATTTTTTTGCAAATAAATGATATGAGAATGATTTATGCGATGGCATCACTTCCATTTTTAATTTAATAAACAACGTGTTTTTAGGAGAAAAAATGGTCGAGGAAAATGAGCTGATAAAGATGTAGACGAAACAATGTAATGAAGAGAAGATATTATGATTACATTTTGCTCTGCAAGAGAAAAAGAAATTTAATTACATAATTAATATAAATAATAAAAAAAAACTAGTCATAAAATGAACATGGATCCAATTCGAGAGTATACACAAATAATTGTTAAGATTGATGATATATGTAATTGGGTAACATATGTATTTAAAAATGACAGAAACTTTATCGTGTCTTCTATCAAACTGTTTCTATTTACTACTTATAACTTATCTCTCCTAGGTTGCGTGGCAGAGACCGCTTTTAGTGACATGACCGCCTACTACTTTTCTCAATATGATCACTTTTTGTAATTGTTTGTATTTAGAAAAAGTTATTTTTTTTTTTATCCTTTATTGTATATAAAAATATTGTTAAGAACAAATAATTTTAAACATAATGTACAAAGGTGAGCTTATCTCTAAAAAGAGATTTCTTCCAGCAAACCTTTTTATGTCAATTGAATGATATTTAAAAATAAAAATAGTATTATAATAAGTTTATTACTGTAATCTTATGGAGATCTATCTATCAGTGGCATGTATAAAATTAAATATACCATAAATATTTACACCACAATATCTGCATTGATATAATAATATATACATCAATAAGTATAGGTTTCGACCTAATTCAGACACCGAACTCTCGCATGGACTAACATTTTAAGATAAAAACCTAAATACTTACGCACTGGAATCTGTTTCTTGTGAATGAAAAATAAATATTCATTATTATTATTAGTATAAAATAGCATAACAAGAAGAAAATAAAGTCGCATTAAGTACCTTCTTCTGGAAGTTTCCTTTTCAACGAAACAAAGTTTAAGTGCTTTTTAAGTGCTCCCGGCGTGTATTCGATTTCTAGTAAGAAGTACCTTATGAGCCTAATAAATACAATGGATTTTATTTTTATGATATTTATAATAGTTATGCATAAGGAGTATCGTGGGCGTCACAGTGTATTCTGTAATGTTTACAGTGCGACTATGTTATTCTGGACAGAAGGGATTAGGTTAATAATACGGACTATCAGTCCCATTGTTCTCTACTCATATTCTATCAGGTAGACTTTCCCGTGGTCCCTTCTATAAAGGGATTAAGGGGGAATTACCAGAGGGAGACTTTGTACAAAAGTCGATTGCTTGGGTACCTCTGTCCCATTCGTGTTTCAACCATGAAGCAGTTGTGTTTGCATGACTGTGTTTCGGTTTGAAGGGTGGGATATAGCGTGAATTTACTGGGTACAGAGGAATAACACCTGAGTCCTCAGGAATGGCAACGCATGGGAGGTATCATGGGCGAAACAGTATACTCTGTTATGTCCATGGTACTGTTCATGTCTATAGGCGACGGTTACCACTTTCCATCAGGTGGGCCGTCAGTTTGTTTGCCATTCTAAGTTGTATAAAAAATTTATTTCACAACTCACTTCACTTTCACTCTCCCTAAATATATATTCCACTTAATTTCCCTAAATTTATATCTGCAAGCTTTGAGAATGACAAGTGAGATGAGTCGTGAAAACAAAAGTGAGTTCCTAAAAATTTTGGCATACTAACTCCAGCTAACTATGCCACCATAGAGAAAAGGGATTTTTAGTAATGGGGTCTAATTGATGCATACACCCTATTAGGTCGACCTCCACGTGGTTCCTCGTGGAAACCGTCGTCATCCTCACCTGTCATCCCTCACTAGTGCCCTGTCAGTGTAACCTTATAGCGCAAGTGGGGTTACCATTCCATTATCACCCATTAAAAAAACTATGCCGCCATTACAAAATGTGTTTACAAAATACTAACTGTAAATCACTCGCTGATTCGCTAGTGTAATCCGACTCCGTACTCTGTAAATTCACTGACATATCCCACCCTTCAAACCAAAACACAGTCATGCAAATAACAGCTTCACGATAGAAACAGACTTTTAACATATTCGTTATTAGATCAGTATATAGATATTGTATCTAATAGTACATTACTGCAGCGGCCAGCAACTGAGGCATTGATGGACGAATGTGCAAATGTGGGCTGAGGCGTAGCCTAGGAAAATATACGTGAGTCCATCAATGTGTCGTTATGGCCAAGGTTTGTATAGTACATTTCTCAAACAATGCGTGGAAATCAAAAACACAATTTTACTTTTTAAGTTCAATAACGAATACCGAAAAATAATATTTTTTCACGTGCTATAACGTTCCTTTGTTTTTTTTCAATAAACAGCTTTATATTTGTAAGCCAGTTCGAAATTTAAATAAACCCTTTTATTAGTTACCTCCTTGGTAGCCATGTTTCGAAGTGAAAGGTCATTCCATTTTTAAATTACAGGACAAATATGAGTTTACATAGTAATTTATCTGGCCGCAAAACACGACAGATACGAATTTTCATACAACTTTTACCGGCCGCTGTCCGCATGTATCTGGCCAGTACGGTAATTTTGATTTATCTCTACGAAGATTGTCAAAATAATGCTCACATTTCCAAGCATGTTTGAGAAAAGTCTATTATCCAAAAAATAATAAATAGATATCCGACCGATATGTGCGATATCGAAACGGGCGATGACATTTTCCTGCTATCAATGCATAGACGAACCCAATATATACACATCAAATCGGTATCTATACTCGTATTACCCATGTCTACAGGGTGAACCGTCAGTTTGTTATTTCTAGTTGCCTAAAAAACATCTTACAAATGCATGAATACAGGAAGGAAACGGCGCCGAGGACTGAATTAGCATGTCTAAATTTACACAAACAGAAAGTATTACTTTCGAGGCCTGTTCGTATAGAGGTTAGAATACTTATTTATATGCCAGATCCTTTATACGTTGTGCAGTGAGACCGAATACCTAAAGCATCATCTATAGATAGCTAGTAATAAACGTAGTAACAGGATGATTGGGGGTAGTTTTTTTTATGAATGATAATGGAATGGTAACCCCGCCTGCGCTATCGGTATACACTGGCGGGCCACCAGTGAGAGATGATAGGTGAGAATGAAAAAGCAGGTCAATTAGCCCATCGTGATGAATTCACTTGAATTCAGCACGATGGTTTCCAGGGGGGACCATGTGGAGGTTGACCTTCTTGGGCATATTGCTAACAATTAACAATCCCCCCGCTGATTGGGGGTAGTTAGAAATGGGATTTAGTAGACCCTTTATTAGCAAATTAATATACAGAATCTTATCTTATCTTATTTTTTCGCATATGGGGTCAGCTAAGCCGATGCACGTCGACCCATACGGATCTTTTGTACTTCCCCCTGCCTTATATCATCATTTCATAGATCCTATGTGTTACCTTAACGATATCCCGCAGTTTAAGGTATCTGTAGTCCCTTGGTTCTGGATAAGGCGTTCCCAGTAGACTCATACGCATACTTGCTAACGAATCGCAGTTGCACATCAAGTGTTCCATGGATTAATAATTCCATGGATAAATATATAGAATACTTTATAAATGTATTTACGCAGACAAAGCAGTGGGATAGAACTAGTATTATGAATTATGAATGGCGTTTAAGATGGCTGGTCGCTAAACACAATTGGACACAATATAGCTACACAGATGGCGTTAGAATTGGGACTTGCGGTTTTTGTTGATTATTTTGTAATTATAGATAATTTGAGGCAAAACTTCTAAATTGGCGGGTGGTTTTATTTATTTTTTACCTATATAATAATAATTTATTGTAATTTCTATCTTTATTCTCTTGTATTGTACAACTTTGTATAATAAACCAGCAAAAACATATCGTTTGTGTGGGTTATAATTAATTTAAGAAAAGATCGCATATTATCTGTAACTTCACATTTATACGTAACAATAAAAGCCATTCGCCAATTTAGAAATTTTACTTAAAATTATCTTCAATTACAAAATAATCAACAAAACCACAAATATCGATTTCAACGCCATCTAGTATTACTTATCTAAAATTGTTTACCAACCACCTTACTGTTCAACCAGTCATGAAATTTGTTACCTGTATCCTGTGGCTTCGCTCGCGTAAATCAAATACATAAAGCATACTATATATTAAGTAAGGATGTCACCTATCCGTGTACAAAATTTCATTTATATCCGTTCTGTAATTTTTGCATGAAAAAACAACAAACATATACCTATTCAAACATTGCATTTATAATGACAGAGTAGTAGGATTAAAGATGCATACATTAAGCTATAATGCTAGTTCAGTTTGACGCACCAACTCCATTCTATTTCTATGTACGAATGCATAATGTAAAAATATCTCGCCCGTCCTCGGATACGACAAAGGTTTTATGCAAACAGCTGACTGTTAAACACGCCAGATTTTTTAATCTGCCCTCCTTTGTGAGATATTAAAAAACGTGTCATAGACGTAATGGATGCTTTTAACAGTAAGAGGGTATATTGTTTGTAATCTGTAGTAATGTTTGTTTGTTATATATATATATATATATATATATATATATATATATATATATATATATATATATATATATATATATATATATATATATATATATATATATATATATATAACGCTGGCGAGGCACCAGTGAGGGATGATAGGTGAGGATGAAAGCAGGTCAGTTAGCCCATCATGACAAATTCCACTAGAATTATTCACGACGGTTTCCAGGGGGAACCGCGTGGAGGCCGACCTGATAGGGTGTATTGCCAGCATTACTAACGATCCCTTTCCCCCCTCTATACATAAGGCGGAATCCACAAGGATATATTATCACATTCCTATTGTTTCAGGCGTCCATAGGTGTACAGTGACCGTTTACTGTCAGACGGGTTGCATGCTTGTTTGCCATTTTGGTGGTATAAAAAAAATCGTCGTGAAATTGTAACAGTACGTATGAGGGAATCAATATATTGCACTTTATACGAAAGTAAAAAACCCCTTGATAAATAGTCGAATTCTGTTTCTTTTATTTAATTTAAACCTTTCGATTTGTTTATACGTATTTTAAATTTACGATCGAAACTTAATGTGACGCGATTACAGGTAAATATTGACTACATACCTAATTTTTATTGTCGACTAGCGGCCCATTCCGGCTTCGTACGGGTGGACATTTTTACAACATTTTAAAAAGTGGTTATTGTGCCATAACAGTATGCCATAATAGTTAGACATATAGTATCACGAAGTTTTTTGTAGTTATTGGTATTTTCTTCAATATTGTAGAACATACTTTTGTTCTATCACCAATAGTTTCCGCAGTGCACGCGACGAAAGATATTTTATAGAATTTTTTACACCTTGAGTTACGTTACTAAACTTTTAGTAAGGATCCACAATCTTTTCTAGCAATAAATATAGCCTATATTACTCAAGGTGAATGTAGCTTTCTAACGGTGAAAGACTTTTTGAAATCGGCAAAGTAGTTTTTGAGTTTACTCATTACAAATATACATACACACAAAAATACAAATCTTTCCTCTTTATAATATTAGTGTAGACTATTATTGGCAATCTCTAAGGAATTTAAATGAAAAATTTACACTGTATTATGTGTCTTAATATATAAAAATGAATCGCTGAATGTGTTGCTAAGCGCAAATCTCGAGAACAACTGAACCGATTTCTCTAATTCTTTTTTAAAATATTCCTTGAAGTACGAGGATGGTTCTTGCGGAGAGAAAAATTGAAAAAATCGCCTGTTAAAGTCTAAAAACAACAATTTTCTATACTCCAAAAAAAACGATTCGTAATAATACTTAAAAAAATTGACTATTTGAACTTTAATACCGTATCATAAAGTTCAAGTGTTAGTGGAGAGGTTCCGGGAAGGCGAAACAATTGAGTGACAATAAAAAAATGTGAAATTGTAATTTTCATTGTGATTTTTTATCGACTATTAAAAGAATTTTAGGTGTTTTATAATTTTTATTTTTTGACATAATGTAATTGTTGGCTTATTAACTTCCTTTTTTCTTTTTTATTTTACTAGCTGACCCGACATCTTGAGTAGCAGAATAAGTATTAAAAAAACTAAAATTAATATAGAATCGACTGTTAGGCGGTACGAAGTTCGCTGGGTCAGTAACTTAATTAGTACTTACCAATAAAAATCATGTATGTAGCTACTATTTAGTTTTTTTTTATACAACTTAGAATAGCAAACAAGCTGACGGCTCACCTGATGGAAAGTGGTAACCGTCGCCTATAGACTTGAGCAGTACCATGGACATAACAGAGTATACTGTTTCGCCCATGATACCCCCCATGCGTTGCCATTCCTGAGGACTCAGATGTTATTTCTCTGTACCCAGTAAATTCACGCCATATTCCATCCTTCAAACCGAAACACAGCCATGCAAACACAACTGCTTCACGCTTAAAACACGAATGGGACAGAGGTACCCAAGCAATCGACTTTTGTAGAAAGTTTTCATATTAAAAGTATATATCAAAAGAAATATGAAAAGAAGAAAATAAAAACAATAAATATGTTTTTAAAAAAGGCTGGCCAAGTTGCTAACACACTAGTGGTGTACCTAAAACATTGTCGCTGTTCAATCCAATTGAGTTTTACAACTCCACTGAACGTACGATTTCTATTCTGATTGCCAAGCGTGGATATGATGGCAGTAGTTTGGAATGAATGAGGGTTAGGTGAGTAGGCACAGAATGTAAATACTAGCTTTCAATATGGAGGATTCTTTGAATAATAGTATGAAGTTTTTTTCAACAAGTATAAGTGTATTACTCCGTAAAAATGTTTCGTCTTCTACATCTTAAAGAGTATTCTATCTCTATCTCTCTCTCTCTCTCTCTCTTTCTCTCTCTCTCTCATACACGTACTTGTTACATGGTTAGTATTCACGGATTTACTACAAAAAAATATCCAAAACGCTATTTACCTAGATAGTGTTTAACAAAACTCTGTCTAAGTATAGTAATTTAATAACGGGGTACAGAGACATAACACCTTAGTCCGGGAAAGGGATTATTAGCAATGGAGTTTGATAGCCTTATTGCTAGCAATATGCCCTATTAGGTCGACCTCCACGTGGTTCCCCCTAGAAACCATCGTAAACAATTCTTGTTTAATTCGTCACGATGGGCTAACTGACTTGCTTCATCCTCACCTATCATCCTTCACTGGTGCCCCGCCGGTGTATACCGATAGCGCGGGTGGGATTACCACACCAATATCACCTATTAAAAAAAACACCTTAGTCCTCAGGAATTTATTTGGTCTCCCAGCAATTGTTACACTGATAAGATTTAATATTAAAATTGCTGTCTATTTATACTTATGAAATGGCATGGCACCGCATTTTACTAGAGAGAGACTTTCTACAAAAGTCGATTGCTTGGATACCTCTGTCCTATTCGTGTCTCAACCGTGAAGCAGTTGTGTTTGCTTGGCTGTGTTTCGGTTTGAAGAGTGGGATATGGCGTGAATTTACTGGGTACAGAGGAATAACACCTGAGTCCTCAGGAATGGCAACGCATCTGGGGGTATTATGGACGAAACAGTATACTCTGTTATGTCCATGGTACTGCTCATGTCTATAGGCGACGGTAACCACTTTCCATCAGGTGGGTCGTCAGTTTGTTTGCCATTCTAAGTTGTATAAACAAATAATGACATACTGTTGGTGTGAGATGATATTTTTTATGAATATATTGCTAATGCGAAAACGTTGATATAAATTCAATTTTGAGATGCCGGGAAGGGAGTTTAATCCCATAACTTTGTTTTCTTTATAGGCCTTCTAATGGAGTTGTCTTTTGTTTTTATGAACGACCTCCAAACGGTGGAAGCTATCAATTCGGCTATATTTTTTTTAGCATAAAATACGTGCTGTAGCTTGTCAGTTCTGGGTCGATTTTTATAATTCTTTTTGTAATTGTCAGGATCCCGTATCGGTCCTATATTAATTTTGTCATGATAAAGTCACTATTTTCTTATAATAAAATATTATTTTGCTTGTATTTTACGTCTTGCGTTAAATAAAACGTGATTAAAGTCCACATTAATAATTGTCTTTATATTTTTATGACGACCTAATGTTTTTGTTAGTGTGAGTCATTCCAATGCTTATCTATTGTTTACTGGCGACGAACTCTAGATAATGATACTGATAAAATTGATAAAGTTATTGATTTAAAAGCCAAACAAATTGTTAGTCGCGATAAAGTTACCAGTGAGGCACATAACGCTGTTGTACAAGTCAACACCATGCCAGATTACATAAATACAAAGGGAGTAATTCCATCGGACGAATCAAGTGATCTGAGTGACTCTGATGATAGTGCAGTACAAAGAATGGACAAAAAAAGAATTAGGAAGAGCAGGCAATTAAATGACGTACCTGAGGAACCAGTGACGTCAGACGAAGATTCAGACGACTCTGAAGAAGGC